TCCTGGGTGGAGAGCTTAAGGTGACTGGCTTTTATTCTTGTGTCTTAAGGAGCTTTGTCCTTTGCTTTTCTTGGTCCCAGCAGGAAATCTATTGTTATTTTTTAGCTTCCAGTACACAGTATCTTTCTCCCACCTTTTTTTCTTTTCTTTTTTTTTTTGCAGAACCAAGGATTGAACTCAGGACCCTGTGCTTGTCAAGCAGGCACTTATTCTACTGAGCTATCTCCCCGGCCCCCTTTTCAAAGGATATCAAACTTATCAGTTCAGGCCATTATGTCTTCAAATATTTTCCCCGTTTCCTCTTTCTCGTCGCTCCTTCAGGGATGCTGCTGCCCATTTGTCACTCCGCTGGAAGTTGCCCCGGCCCTCAGCATTTCCTGTTTCCTTTTCAGGAAATGCTCTACCTTCAGGCTTTTTACTCTTTCTGCTAAAATGTCTAATCAGCCTGAAGTTCTATCCAGTTACTTCCATCCAGGACAATGTAGTCTTCATCTCTAGAAGTTCATTTGGGGCATTTCACTTTATCATCTTTGTTTCTGTTTAACAAAAATTCTCCATCTGTGCTTCTACCTTCTTGAACATCCTGGATACAATTATAATAATTATTTTAATGTCTGCTAATGTCATTTTATCATCTCTGTCATTTCTTGGTTGGTTTTGACTAACTGGTTTTTCTCCTCATGAGGGAACAAATTTTTCTCCCTTTTTACATGTCTGATGATTTTTTATTGGACGCCAGACATTTCTACCTGGGACTCCAGAATGTTGAGGTTTTCTGTAACAGCAGTTGGGAACGGGGACCACTCCTTGGCCCGAGTGACCTCTGCAGACTGTTCCTCTGTCTCATGTCACCAGAGGTGATTATTTCCCTATCTTAGGGAGTTTCCTCACAGGCGTGCGGTCAGCCCTTTCCTGATGACACCAGGTCACTTGCAGAACCCCAGAGCTCTGACCCGGTGGTGTGGCTCACTCTTCCCCAGAACTCTGCTCTGTGACCTGTAGTTATCTTGTCCCCTCCTGGTGAGCAGTTAGACCATCAGCTTCCACTTGGGATCCCCTTATGTGCTGTACCCCGCAAGCTCCAGGCAGTCAGCCATCAGATGACTCACCCTGTTTGTTTTTATCCTCTCTAATTTTACCTTCCCTCATTATCTATAGTTCTGTGCCTTGAAAAAAATCACAGTTATACACATTTTGTTTGCTTTTAGCTGATTCAGGCCTGAGGATCTTTTAAAGCATTTATTTATTTAAGTTTTGGTACAGGGTCTTGCTATGTAGCTTGGACTTGTAGTGATCCTCCTGTCTCAGCCTCCCCAGTGCTGGGACTACAGGCATGTACCACCACGACCAGTTTTTGTGGCTGGCTTGGCACAGGGCCAGCACAGCATGTAGTACCAGGGATGGAACCCCCGAGGCCTGAGGATCAAAGTGTCTCCTTTATGCCCTCCAACAGGAGCCCACACACTGTCTCATCACTTGTGTGTCACTTGTACACAACTTATTCCTTTGAGAAAAGATTCACTTGGATCTGGACAATCGTGTAGATGTGTAGGGAGAGTTAAAGGGCCTCAGAGAAGTTTCTGGCAAAGAAAAAGTTGAGTCTCTGCTAGAGAGAGAGAAGCCAAGAAAACCAGCACTCTTCAGGCTGCCCGGCCTGGCTCGCTTCATGCCAAGGCTCGATGTGCTCCCCCCACCCCCAATGAAACACAGAAAGAAACAAAAGTGGAGAAGGAGCTACAGCACCAACAAGCTCACTGAGTAGGTGGAATACGCACCGGCACCTGGAGGCCTGCATACCTGCACAAGCACATGCATTTTCTTACTCTCCCACATGTTTACACTAAAATGTGCACTAGCAACAGCAAGCAGAAGCACTGCAACAGCACCCAGCATGTGGAGGCAGACTTTACGCTGATGGGCACTGATTGGGATCATTCCCTAAACATCAGGCCACGAAGGGCCAGGGAGGGAGGTGCTTATGGAGTCGAAACGGAAGATACAGAGGCAGAGTACTTGGTTGTCTTTGATTGGTTCTTATGATATGCATCACAGTGACCAGCTATGCACCACAGTGACCAGCTGTCTTTTAGGAGACAAAAGTAACAGGGGCTGGAACTGGAACCATTACCTGGGCAACCCGCGAACTGAATATACTCACTGGGGAGGGGTTCACCCTCTGCCACAGTGTCTCTTTTTGCTAACTTGTTCTTGAAGGTGAGACTGTACTATACGTCTCACAAAGTAAGTACCTGGACAACACAAAGAGACCAAAGAAGAGCTTACGTAAAGACATACAGGTGGGGGCCAGGGAGATGGCTCAGCAGCACGAGAGCGTGCCTGGCAAGCACAAGGTCCTGAGTTCAATTCCCATTCCCACAACACAACAAAACAAACAAAAAAGACACAGATGGGCATTGGCCAGATTAGGGATCTCGGGGCTCATCAAGTTGTAAGAACTCTCAAGGAAGAACCTCTTTCTTGCCATGTAGTAAAAGGAGCTGAGAGCGAAGGCCTGCCCTGCGTTCCAGCTCAAGGGTCCCTAACTTACTCCAAGAAGGCGGCTATCTATCTTCTTATTGCTCTTCCTTTTCTGATACAGTGAGTCTTCTATTTCCAATAAAATCATTTTGCTTCTCCTTCTGAACTTATGTCTCTAATTCCTTTATTTACGTAGACTTTTTTATGAGCCCTAGAAGGAAAATCTACCCTCAGAAGATCTAACAGAAGTATGTGTTTGCTTTCTGTTCATAAAATGTCTCAAGTTAAGGCTCAGCCCTGCGAGTCCAATTGCTGCTTCCTCCCTTAAACAGTGGCTTCTTCTTTTGGGGTGTTTTTCTGTACCTACCCCTAGAAGCACCCCGGCTCTTGGCCTCCCCAGCCATGGGGCCCAGCACTGCAAGGAGATCCACAGCAGGATCTTCTGGGAGATGGCCAGGGAGAAGGCCTGAGGTATGCTCAGGGGTCATGGGGCAAAGAGCCAAGGCCAGAGGCCATGGCAGGGGCAGCAGGATGCACTCAGCAGAGACACAAGGTGGTGAAAGCCACACTGGTGCTGTGAGCTTCCGTTCCTGGCCTTGTGAGGGTTGGAAAAGGGCCAGGCTAGGCTAACAGTGCTGTGCTTGGGCTCCTGTGTCACAGAGACCCGGGGAGAGGCTTAGGGCAACTGGGTACCTTGGTAGTAAGAATCGCCCATCCTCCTGCAAGCACAGTGCTGTCTGGCCACCTCGCAACCTCGAATGCATTTTTTACCCTCTCCCCACCCCCTGGACAGAGGGTCACATGACTATCCAGACCCAAATATAGTTTGTTTGTTTGTTTGTTTTTTAAAAAAAAGAAAACAAAACATTTCCAGATCACAGCCACTATGAGCATGGCCAATTTTCCTTTTGCTAAATAAACTGCTTCTTCTTGTCAATGCTGGATTTGGGCCACTTGGCGCTGATAATGACAGGTAACTTGGGGAAGCACACAGCAGGTGCCCAGTGAAGACTACAGGAGGAGGAGCTCCAGGCTCCCCACCTAACCATCATCTTTGTATGGGGCAGACCAGGTGGCTTAATAACATTCTGCTCTGTGGAGGAGTCTTCTACGGCCTGCTGCCCCCAACCCCCAGTTGCAAAGCTAACCAGCCTGGGCACATAGGTTCAGTACTTTGGGTACAAGCCCTTAAACTACTCCTGGAGGGCAATGTTGTTCCATGTATGTATTTTTAAAAAGGACATAACTGTGTGAATTCCCTAATATTCCATGTCTTTGAAACTATTTTAAGGCAAAATCCTAAAAAGCATATAAAGAGTTTTAAGTACAACATGATCATTGAAGCTCATCATGAAATAAGCCAGAAGGTGTATGGGTTAGGTGTCCAGCGGGTTTTGCATTACTGCTGTGGAGTAGTAGCAGCCCTCGCCACGCCCTGGATGAACCCCTGGTGGCACAAAGGACTTGAGTTGGTGATGAGGGTGAAGAGAAAGGGACACATGCACAACAACAGCGGCGCATCACCACCACTTCCCAAGACGCAGGGGAAGAGGAGGCGACCACACTTGCGGCCCCTCGGGCGGGCTGTGCCTCAGTGGGCCCTTCCTTGCCTCCTGTTCACCGAGGAGGCACACTTACTTTTGCTGCCATCTTCTTCAGGTCTGACAGGCAGTTGGAGGCTATGGCCTGGCATTTCAAATTCAGAGAAAGGTGAGCTAATTCAAAAAGTAAGAGGATTCTGAAAAAGAAATAAAAGGGGCACTGGCTTGACTGGGGAACACAAAAGATTCAACTGCATGGCGCAGGAAGCAGTCAGTCACATTCTGCTGAATTAAGGAATAGGATAATGAAATACAATTAGATAACTGGCTACAAATGCTCCAGCGGTGGCCCCTGCCAGGTTCACTGCTGCAGGGCCCAGCTGCCCTCCACAGTCCTGGTTCCCATGCATGCACTGTCGCCTGCCCAGGCGTTCACGTCAGGCACTGGTGCGTGGTCACAGACGACATCCTGTGCAGCCGCATGGGAAGGCACTCGCTAGCCACACTTCTGGGCTCAGTGAGGGAGACGACACGCAGGAAGGCTTGCTTGACAGGCATGTGGGGTGTCATCAGTAGCGTTCACAGTCGCCAGTCAGGGTCTTCGTGACATTCACAGACTGCTTTGAAGCTATTTTAGGGCAAAGTCCTAAGAAGCATATAAAAAGTTACGTCTATACCAGAGTCTGCAGCTCTGGGATGGCTGAGGTGAACCACGAAGCTGGTGGACGGAATTCCCCAGGTTAAGACTGCGCATTAGGCTGCGGGAGGGAAGAGTGGCTCTGCATGCAGACAGGCCGGCCTCCCGGCCTCTGCCCCGCCCTTAAGTCCGGATCGCTCTGTCCTGTGCAGACCTGTCCTCTGTGCCCCGCAGAGTCAGATACAGCTCAGGTTGGGCCCCTCAGATACTAGTGACAGCCCCAGACCTCCAAAGGCCTCCAGATGCAGCTAAATATCCCTGGTGACAAGCCACATCTTGTCTGCCTTTCCTAGTCATGTCCCTGACTTACACAGGACAACGTTTGGCCTGTGAAGAGCCACAGGATGGCATGTGGCTTGGCCATCTTTCTTTTCTCCAGCCTCAGGCTGCTCTGGGCCAGAGGCCACTTTGTGAAAGAGGGGTTGGGGTGCAGGGGTCCTTCTCCTTTTTTATTTTTTATTTTTTCTTATTTTATTGAGAAACAAATAGTAATGAGACAGTTTCAAAACTGATTAATAGGACAGTTTCAATAATTAATACATTGTACATTGCTATCTTCTTAGTGGTTATACATAGTACAAGATGCAGACAGGATATCCTGTCCAAACACTATTAGTACAAATATTTGTTCTCACTGAATTAAGCCAAAGTAGCTGTATATCTATCCTAACTATTCTGTATATACAGATAAAAAATGGTCCTTCCTTTGTATCCCCTTTTTCTCTTTAGTCCTGTCAGAGATGGGTATTTCATTGGCATCTAAATATGATAGGTATGCGAATTCAGCAAAACAATCCAACACAGTCTAGCAGTCCACAATAGTAGTGGGTTATCTACAGAAGTTGTTGACTTGAGCCTTTCACAGCTCAGCATATTAATATGGCTTTACTTTATATACCTCATTTTTATACTTTTCTGCTGGATGGTTAAGACCAAGATAAA